CGTTTGAACTGTAAGGTCAGAGGTTCAAGCTCACCAGCTGCTCCTTGGAAACCCTATACAGGGTTGCTATGGGTCAGAATCGACTCGATGGCACTTAACAACAACAACAACATACTCAAAAGAACAGGGACGTAGGTATTCCAACATTTACTATACTATACTAAGCTGGTTAAAGTTATTCTGATTATATACAAAAGCAACAGGCAAAATATGGGTGCAAGTGGTTTTTGCTTTTGTTTTCAGTCAAGGTGCCTTAAATTGAGGCACTAACTTACTTACACTGAGTCCCGGCAGTGCTGTGAAACATTAGAGCACACAGGTGAAGGGCAGCAGCAGTCCCCAGACTCCACTCTTAGAATCCTGCTTCTAAAAATCCTTCCTTTGGATCTATAAAAGGATAATGTACATTTGGGTCTGGTAATTTTCAGAAGAAATGATTTTAAAGAGAACATTGGTGAATGTAGGAGAAAACTGAGTTCTAACCCTTCTCCATCGCTGAGAGTGAATATTTGCCTGTTATAGGGGTCACCTGATCTCTACAACTCCATGCTCTCCATGACAGGGGGAGTATTCTTATTCTGTCTTTGCATACATTAAAAAAATATTTGTGCTGTAGGATAAACACTGGACTGGTGATCACAAGGTCGGCAGTTCAAATTCACCAATACGGGGTCACTATGGGTTGGAACCTACTTGATGGCACTTAACAGCATATGAATGAAGAGCCCTGGTGCCGCAGTGATTGAGTGCTTAGCTGATAATCTAAAGGTTGGTGGTTTGAACTCACCAGCCGCTCCTTAGGAGAAAGATGTGACCATCTGCTTCCTTAAAAGATTTCAACCTTGAAAACCCCCACAGGGCAGTTCTACTCTGTCTTAGAGGTTGCTATGAATCAAACTCAACCCAACAGGTCTGGTTTGGGGGTGTTGTAGTTCTTGTTGCTAAGTAACATTGAGTTGGCGTAGGATTTCCAAGGAATGTCTAGTGGTTTGAACCACTGACCTTGTGCTTAGCAGTTCCGTACTTATCCCAGACCAGATTTGCGGGTACATATTTAAATTATGAAAAATTCATAAGCTGTTTTGTAATGGTGGTGCTGTGCCATGGAGTCGGTTCCGACACATCTACCCTGTATAGAGTTCCCGAAACTGTAAATCTTTACCAGAGCATAAAGCTGCTTCTTTCTCCTCTTCTCTCTCCTGCAGAACAGCTGGTTGTTTTGAACTGCTGACCTGGAGGTTAGCAGCCCGACTCATAACCACTACGCTGTTTTTCCATGTAGCTGTGAGATTTCAAGTAGACTGTTATTTGATCCTTATATACTGTGTATAATAATGAGCAAGTAAAAGAGTTGTAGAATTTTAGTGTGTCTTCCCCTGTGTTACTATCAGGAAAGATGCAGACAAAAATACAAAACAGCAAATATTTTATATTCAGTGGCAAGACATTATAATTAAACTCAATAAAAGAAGTGTTTTTTACACTCTCAATATGTTGTTTTACCTGTAATTTTCTAAGTATTTGTTTTGCTTTTAGGAACAGCGACTTTTGATCGTCCTAAGTAATTGCCGCTATCTGGAACGTCACACTTTCTTAAATATAATGGAACAATTTGAAAAGCACGGCTTCCAGGGAATAGAGAAAATAACACAGGTAAGCCAGTTCCTGTTTCATGGGAAAGTTGGTTGTGTTACCACTTAGCTTCTATCCCTTGTTCTCGTCACCTGTTTCTGTACTTGTTGCCTCGGCTCACCACTCCTGTTCACATCTGCACCACCTTCACTTGGCTTTGTCTGTTTCCTTCTCATAACTCAGCTAATGTGATACCGTCTTTTTAGCACTGGAGCAAAGCTTTCTCCAGATTAGGCCTTGTGGACTCCCCATCTATGTGGATCAGAAGTAAGGGAGGAAACAAAGGAGAGAAAGGCATTAAACCCAAATCCTTCAGAATCATCTGGTTTGACTTAAAGTCAGTCCAGCCAGTAGCAGATTGCTGGAGCCTGCAGGAAACCTCTTCCCCTTACGTGCTTATTCACAGTTCTTCTTTTCTCTTTCTATATGATTATAAAGATGTCTTTACTTTATAATATTCTTTATAATATTTTGTAATATTCCTACGGATACACACACACAACTGACTTCCAATAACTTGTTGTTAGATGCCATAAAGTCGGTACCGACTCATAGCGACCTTGTGTACAACAAAATGGAACACTGCCCAGTCCTGGGCCAACCTAACTATTGTTGCCACGCTCGAGCCCATTGATGCTGCCACTTTGCCAATCCATCTCACTTGAGGTCTCCCTTATTTTCTCTTACCTAACATGATATCCTTCTCCAGCGATTTGTCCCTCCTGACAGTACATCCAAAGTATGAGAGACAAAGTCTGGCCATCCTGGCCTCCAAGGAACACTCTGGCTGCACTTCTTCCAACACAGATCTGTTGGTTCTTTTGGCAGCCCATGGCACTTTCAGTATTCTCCTCCAACACCATAACTCAAAAACATCAATTCTTCTACGGTTTTTCTTATTCACTGCCCAGCTTTCGCATGCATATAAGGTTACTGAAAATACCATAGCTTGGGTCAGGCGCACCTTAGTTCTCAAGCTGACATCTTTGCTCTTCAACAATTTAAAAAGGTCTTATGCAGCAGATTTGCCTAATGCAATGTGTTGTTTGATTTCTTGACTGCTGATTTCTTGAGTGTTGATAGTTGATCCAAGAAGAATAAAGTCTTTCACAACTTCAATCTTTTCTCCATTAATAAGAATGTTGGTCCAGTGGTGAGGATTTTGTTTTCTTTACATTGAGATTCAATCTTTACTGAAGGTTGTGGTCTTTGATCTTCACCAGTAAATGTTTTAAGTCTTCTTCACTTTCAGCAAGCAAGTTTGTATCATCTGCAGATCACAGGTTGTTAATGAGTCTTCGTCCAATCCTGATGCCATATAACCCAGCTTCTCAGATTATTTGCTCAGCATACAGATTGAATAAGTGTGATGAAAGAATACAACCCTGTCGCACATCTTTCTTAATTTTTAACTGTTTAGTGTTCCCATGTTCTGTTCGAACAACTGCCTGTTGGCCCAGGTACAGATTCCTCATGAGCACAATTAAGTGTTCAGGAATACTCATACTTCGCAGTATTGTCCATAGCTTGTCATGATCCACACAATCGAAAACCTTTGTGTAGTCAGTAAAGCACAGGTAAACATCTTTCTGGTATTCTCTGCTTTCAGCCAAGATCCATCAGACATCAGCAATGATAGCCCTCATTCCACAGCCTCTTCTGAATCCGCCTTGAAACTCTGGAAGTTCTCTGTCAGTGTATGCTTGCAGCCGTTTCTATATTACCTTTAGTAAAACTTTACTCGCATGGGCTATCAAAGAGATTGTCCGATAATTTCCGCATTCCTTTGGGTCACTTCTCTTTGGCATGGGCACAAATACGGATCTCTTCCAACCAGTCAGCCAGATAGTTGTCTTCCAGATTTCTTGGCAGAGATGAGTGAGTGCCTCCTGTGCGCCTCACTTTCTTGAAAGATTTAAATTTTTATTCCATCAATTCCTGGTGCCTTGTTCTTTACCAATTCCTTCCGTGCACCTTGGACTTCCTCCTTCATTATCATTGGCTTTTGATCATATGCTAACTTTTGAAACGGTGGAACATTAACCATTTCCTTTTGGTACAGTGACACTGTGTATTCCTTCCATCTTCTCTTGATGCATTCTGCATCATTCAATAATTTGCCAAGAGAATCTTTTAATAACAAAAGTCGAGGCTTGGATTTTTTCTTTAGTTCCCCCAGCTTGAGAAATGTTGAGTGTGTTCTTCGCTTTTGGCTTCCTGACTCCAGATCTTTGCACATTTTGTTGTAATATTTTACTTTATCTTCTCGAGCTGACCTTTGAAATTTTCTTTTCAGCTCTTGTACCTCCTCATTTCTTCCATTTGCTTTAGCATCTCTGTGCTGGACAGCAAGTTTCATTGTCTCTTCTGACATCTGTTTTGATCTTTTCCTTCTTTCTTGTCTTCTTAATGACTTTTTGCTTTCTTCCTATATGATGTTCTTTATGACATCCCACGACTCTTCTGGTCTTTGGTCTTTAGTGTTTAATAAGTAGGTTGCTTCTAAGTGCTGCTGAGCCATTTCTGACTCATAGAGACCCTGTACGTAGTTTCTGAGGAGCAGCTGGCGGATTTGAACAGATGATCTTGTGGTTCTCGGTCCAGTGCTGATCCTCCAATGCCATAGCAGTAACTATAGGACTGTTTATATCTTATCTGAAAACTACGTGCTCTCCACTCTCCCACCCGTAGGAATTAGCAAGAGAGGGCACCAACAAGTCCTGTGTAAATCAGTGAGGTGGGTTCTGTTGGTTTTTTAATGTTATAGTTTGTTGTTTCAGCCTTTTTCAAGTAAGCAGAAAAGGACAAAATGAGGTAACCTTATTGTCTGATTCCTGGTCACAGTTTATCAGATTTCTAAGTAAATCTATGCTAGTATGCTAATACCACTTTTTAATGTCAGTCCACTTTCTTGATGTAAAGTATTAAAAAGATAAAGATCTTGGTAACCTGTTGTTAAGGAATGGTAGTTTTGTTTTGTGTTACACATAATGGTTCTTGTTCTTAAGCTAGAGTGACTTTATTTATTTATTTTTTTTCAAAGAATTAAAATGTGGAAGTAGGTGGCTGCCTCTTTACTTTCCTGCCTTTTCGTAAAAGATTACTCATCTTGATGAGAAATGTTGTGACTTCAGACTTCATGGCCACAGACAGATACAAACCAACCACCTTGCCCAGGCAGTAATGACACTGGTTTAAAAAAAAGAGCGAGAGAACAACAAATGCTGGTTAGGTAGTATGGAGATGGGAACTCATCTACACTGCTGAAACTGAAAATGGTACAACCACTAAGGAAAAATGGTCTGGTGTTTCCATAGAAAGCTAGAAATAGAAATGGCAGGCAACCTCACAGTCTCATACCTAGCTGTGTGTATCCTAGACACTGTGTACCCTGAGATCCCAATAGACATCTGCACACCTGTGTTCACCCCAGATTCCTCATTGTTGATCATTACACAGTTTTCCACTGTATGTATAGATCACAGCTTGCTGATCCATCCATACACTGATGGATGCCCAGGCTGTTTACAGCTCATCACTACTGCTGATGATGCTCTGATTGGTGACCACACACATCACCGATGGGGGGAAATGGGGTAAAAGCAGCAATGAAGTAGCAAGCTAAACCCTACAATGTTCAGTGGACTTCTGTGGACCCAGCTGGGGACCTGGGGACTCTTGGGCTCAGAGTCAGTGGCGTGGCCACGGAGGACTCGAGAGGAGAGTGGAGCTACCGGCTGACGGGAAGAGAGGGCATGTGCACAGGAGCGCCCACACTTGCAGATGA